TCCAGTTCCCTCAAGCATCCTTCAGCGGGATGTGAATCTGACAATGAAGTCACTCCAAGGGTTTGTTCCTCTCAGTTCCTGAAGACTTCAGAAATTTGTCTCATTCCAGAAGAGAGTCACCTCATTTGACTGGGCAGAGGACTTAACAGATTCCAAGGTCAGAATCAGAGGCTTGGAATAGATGTGAGAAATTTTTTTGTGACCATAAAGTGACCCATTCCAACAGATAACTTTACAACAAGATGAACATCTCGAGCAATTTTATACTGGTTTCACTTAGACATTTCCTCCCCAAAGGTACTCAATTATAACTATTATTATTGTTTCATGCTTTTGAACATACAGTATTTAAATTTTATAAGTATGTTAAATTAAAACTTACACCAGAAAATTACTTTTGAAAAAAAAGAATTAAGATTTTTATCAGATTAAATTATTTTCATTTGAGTCATTTTTTAAATCTAAATTTCACATAATTTTTAAAGAATTATTTATTTAATTTTATTTATTTATATATAGTGAGCAGAGAAAGAAAGTGAAAAAGCAAGCCACCATGTCTGATACTCAAACTGTGGTCATCCATGTGGAAGTCCAGCACCTTTAACCACCACGCCACCTACTAGCCCCTGCATAATTTTGTTAATGGTAATGGGCTATAGCTCTCTGACTTACAATTTGAAAAGAAATATACTTTTACTGAAAAACTCCATACTGGCTAGTGATATGTGGACAGATATATTTTAACCATAGCACTCAATTTTTTAAATTATTTTTTATGAGATATATTTCATATTTAAATAAAAGCCAAAAATATCAATAAAAAAATATTTTTTTACCAAGCTGTCTCTTCAGAGTTCCCTTAATCTCCTTATTCCTCAGACTGTAAATGAGGGGGTTCAACATGGGTATGACCACCGTGTAGAACACAGACACCACCTTGTTCTGGTCAGTTGAATAGTTGGACTCAGGCATCACATAAATGAATGTAACAGTCCCATAGAACAGAGTGACTGCAGTGAGGTGGGATGTGCAAGTGGAGAAGGCTTTGTGGCGCCCCTCTGTGGAGTTCATCTTCAGGATGGTGACGAGGATGTAGATGTAGGAGACAATTATGATAAACACTGTGACAACAACAATGGAGCCAGTAGAAATTGAAGTAACAATTGTGGACAAATGAATATCAGAACAGGAAATTTCAATTAAAGGGGCAAAATCACAGAAAAAGTGATTAACTTTATTTGGCCCACAGAAGAGTAAAGGATAAAAGCAAATAGTAAAAGAACAAGCATTAAGAAAACCACCTACATAAGCAACAAGGAGAAGCTGGACACAGACTTGAGTGGACATTTTGGCTGAATAAAGCAGTGGGTTGCAGATGGCCACAAAGCGATCATACGCCATGGCAGCCAAAAGGGAAAACTCTGTTGTCCCAAAGAAAGCAGCTGCACCAAGCTGAATGGAACATCCAATGTAGGAGATTGTGTTTCTTTCCACCAAGAAATTTACAAGCATATTAGGTGTGACATTAGATGAAAACCCTATGTCAACCAGAGCCAAGTGGGTAAGAAAAAAGTACATGGGATGATGGAGCTGAGGGGAGATTCTGATCAGGATGATTGTGCCGAGATTGCCAAATACGGTCACCAGGTAGAAGCACAGGATGATCACGAAGAGGATGACCTGAAGGACTGGATCATCTGTTACTCCCAATAAAATGAACTCTGTCACTACAGTGTGGTTACTGTTCACCAGGGAATCCATGAGAGAATGACGCTCCACCAGAATGAATCTATGTTAAAGACATTGCATTAAAATAGTTACAAATTTGATGGTTCATTTTGTGAATACATACATGGAGATTATTATGAACAAATATATCAATAAAGTTTAGCTAAAAGTTATTTTTAATTTTGTGTCCATTGATTATATATTTCTATATAAGGAGTCTTTCTATACTTCAAAAATTGCTTATAACAGGGAACCAGCAGTTAGTGTAATGGCTATGTCGCTGGACTCCCACGTAGTCGACCGCGGTTCGCATCCTGGACCCGGTGGCTTAAAACTCACGCCGGGCACATGTGCATGCGTGTCCAAGATCCCGAGAGGAGAATGGAGGAGAAGGGATTGCA